TTTCTTTCTTTCTTTCTTTCTTTCTTTCTTTCTTTCTTTCTTTCTTTGTCCCTTCCTCTTTCTTTCTTGCTCTTCCTTTTTCTCTCTTTCTTTCTCTCCCTTACTCTTTCTTGCCCTTTCTTTCTCTCTTTCTCTCCCTTCCTCTTTCTTGCTCTTCCTTCCTTCCTATTTTTCTTTCTTTCTCTTTTTTCCTCTTTCTTTCTTTCTCTCCCTTCCTTTTTCTTCCTTCCTCTTTCTTCCTTTCTTGCTCTTTCCTTCTTGCCCTTCCTCCCTTCCTTTCTTCCTCCCTTCCTTGACTCACAGACACACACACACACACACCTTTTCTGGGAAGAACTTATTGGGCAAACTCCAGAGCAGTGAGTGGCAGGACAATGAAGAAAGCAGCAGCCCTGGAACATCCATCCGCTCTCCCTTTCGAAGCACATGGGCAGCAGCGGTGGTGGGTGGGGGTGCCCCAAAAGGCAGGGAGAAAGCAAATGGAAAGGCGAAAAAGCCCCACCAACTCTTCGGACCTCTTAGTCCGAAGAGGTCCTCGGACCTCAACAAAGTATTAAGAATAAAAGGACTATTTGGAGGAAAGTGTGCAGAGGCAGCAACCAGAGAGAGTGGGATTTTTTGTTCCAGCTGTTCTATGTCAAGATCCTTTTCTTGATTTGGCTTTTGTGTTCCCATTTTAGTAATTTCAATTTTGTTATTTTCCATACTTTCAAAATCTATAACGTCTATGTCTATGTAAAAAAAAATAAGAGTTTTCTCACCATATACTAAACATACATTTATCTATTGAAATCTCTATTCTTTCTGAGATGTTAGATATTAATATTTCAGTCCAGTTTAAAAAAAACTCTTTAAAATAACACAAGGTTATACTGTAGCCAACTTAATCATTTTAATTCTTTGGTGCCTGGTTCTTTAGTTCCCTCTAGTGTCTATTTGCAATCTGTATACAACTTCAGTTTTTAACAGGTTTAATTCCATTTCAATTATTTTCATATTATTTATTATTTAATTACATATTTGCTTTACAAGTCTTATAGCAAAAATAATCAATATTCCAAATCTCTCCGGATTCCCAATCTGTTTAAAACCCCTTTTTTGTCTTTGGCCAATTGCATATTATTTTAAATTTTTAAGTCTCTGTTTAAAATTTATTTAATCTGAAGAAAGTGAAAGTCACTATGTGTCAAATTAAGCTTGCTGTTTTGAAGGTCTCTAATATCCATAAGGTGGTTAAATTGAACATTTCCAAATGTTTGGAAAGTGAGTTCGGCTGGGTTTATGTCCTTATGAAAGGCCTCACCTCACCACTGTGGAGAAGAAAGATGTTGTCTCCCCTAGCTTCTGGTGTTGACACCGACAAGAGACAGTTTTATGATTTCCTCATGAGGAGTTGCCATTCAGAACACTTCTGAGGATCTCCCAAATCTGTTCTGTCAGTCAGCCATAACTCACACTGGAAGCAGCTTCATTGTCTTTTTATATTTTCACTAAGTGGATATCTTTCTGTGGTTTAAAAATTAATATACTTGATTATTGTCATTCTGTCAATGTGAATACCACCAATATAGGTTCTGCATTTTTCCTTCACCAGGCCAGATTTAGGGAATCAAGAACCATATGATTCTAATTGGTGTTATTTGGCTCTTTACAGAAGCAAGGCGATGATGAAGCCGAAGATGAATTGGAAATTGCTATTGACAACACTGCTTTCATGGACGAATTCTTTTCAGAGGTAAACACTGCTGAGAAAAGAAAAAGCAGCTCTGAAATTAAAGTTGGGGCTTCAGAGTAATAAAATTGTGGAACACTGACATTTATTTAACTGTGCTGTGAAAGCTGTTGATGGAGGAAATGCAAACATTTCAGAGACCAGACTAATGCTGGAGCCATGGGCCGCAACTAATTTTTTATTTATTTATTTATTTTATTTTGTCAAGCGATTGATTATAAGATAACAGATATAAACATAGTTATGAATACATGAAATGGATACATATAAGAAAAATAAAAAGAAACAATAGGACAGGGACGGTAGGGGGCTTATGCACGCCCGCTACAGACCTCTTAGGAAAGGGGTGAGGTCAATAGTAGACAGTCTAAGGTTAAAGTTTTTGGGGTTTGGGGAAGAAACCACAGATCCACTTAATCCACTTAATCTTCCAGGGGCCACAAAAGGTCATCACAAAAAGCAATGTGGTGATGTGATCAAGAATGGCCCCCAAATTGCCTTTTTTTTCAGCTTGGGAAGCAGTTTATGAATTTTTTAAGGGTGGAGATATAAACATTTTGATTCTCAGTGTGTTCCTCTTCCCCTTTCTACTGCTAATTTTGGCTAACAGCCTCGGTTCCAGTAGTCCTGATTAAAAAAGAGATAGCCAATTCCAGCTTCTTAAGCACATTGGGCAAAGGCCAGATTTTTCCCTTGTAGCATGTTTATCCTGGTGTTTTTTTTTGCTAAAAGTCTCCAGAATGGAGTCCATACATTTAATGTAGTGAGAATCAGAGAGTGTAAGGCCTTCTCCACAGGTTTTCAACCCATTTAATTTTCCTGGGAGAAAAATTAAAGAAAGAATTGAACTTGGATACCAATTCTTAAATTTCAATTGCAGATCTTATATAATGTCCCGCTGGTTATAGTTCAGGAAGAAGAGACTTGGGAGAGCTATTTTATATTGATCAGACTTGGTGGAATGTTCCTGATTCCCATCTCATTTTTTATTTTGCTAAATGGAAAGGCTGTGGTCAATGTAAATAGCCATCTTATATTTCCCTGCTGTTGGAAGATCAGCAAGGGGCAGACAGACAGAGATAGGTGGCAGGAAGCAACAAAGGAAGCAGTGCAACTTCCATCACTTGCTATTTTCTTTAACCCAGTATTTAAAAAGGAGGTGCTGGGCAAAAGAAACTACAGTCACAGCTGCTGTTACCTTCCTTATCTCCAGTGACATGAAATAAAAAGTAGAACCTGGAATCTTTGACAAAAGAAAAAAATGACTGTGTCTGGTATGGCCTATCAAAGTTTTAAGCTTAAAAAAGGATTACTGGAGGGCCCTCATGGTCCACGAGCACCATTTTCCCCTCCATATCAACTGCTAATAGTAGGTCTGCAGCAGAGGTGGTATTCAGCAGGTTCTGACCAGTTCTGGAGAACTGGTAGCGGAAATTTTGAGTAGTTTGGAGAACCGGCAAATACCACCTCTGACTGGAGATTTTACAGTATCCTTCCCCTGCCACGCCCACCAAGCCATGCCCACAGAACCGTTAGTAAAAAAAAAATTGAATCCCACCACTGGTCTGCAGTTACCTATGACAAAGGAAACAACATCTCCTTTCCTTGAGTAGTTGTTGAGGAGGATAATTATGATAGGATGAAGTTATTAAGAAAATATTGGAATATGCAGAAATGAGTAGATTGACATTTGAAATTAGAGAACAAGAAGATAAACAATTTTATGAAGTTTGGGATCTTTTTTATCAATGGTTGGATAATACAATATAATAATAAAATATTTAGAGATCTAGGAAATAATGAATATACATTTTTTGGGGGGGGGTTGATAATACTTTTATAATACTTTATTAAGATAGATTTGGTATGATTTTATGATTTGTTGGGAAAAAAATTAACTAAACTATAGTTATCTCGCTTAAGTATGAATTAGTTAAATTATAGTCAAATGATTGTTTAATAATGATATTAGGATATATAATTGTTGATTGATAATATGAGTTATTATGTAATATAATTATTATAATGACTATGAAATGAATGCACAAAAAGGAGTGGTAAACCAACCGATACACTGTCTGTAAATTTATGAAGGATGATGATGTTTTTATGTTATGTTTTATGTTTTATGTGTTTTTTGGTTTGTTGTTAAAATCAATAAAACTTTAAAAAAAAATTATGATAGGATGAGGCAAACTGTTGTAATGTTATAAGCAGTGAAGAGTGTAGGTCTGATTTTGCATTAGTGTTCATGGAGCAATAAAGAGTGAAAATATTGCGTTTAAGCATAAATGCCATTTGTATATGAGTGTGGAGTATATATATATATGTGTCTAGATTGGCAACCAGGGAAACTGATTCTACTGATAAGATCAAAATACCTTATAAGAGAGCACCTTTCTGTTGTATGAATCAAAAGCAAAGCTCACACATTTACTGACATTGCTGAAAATAATAAAACACTTCCACTGAATATTATTTTTTTCAGCTTCGTAGAGGGGATGGTGGGAGTAGATAGAAGATGAATTGTACTTTTGTTTGATGCAGAAGAAGGGGAAAGGTCTGCCTTGTTTTGTAAAATTTTCCTTTCAAGTCACTACCTGCAGAATGAGACAGGAACGTCATGCAATTGCCTCCAATGATAAGAAAGCCCTCTCCACCACATGCAGGATGGTCACGGCTGTTGCTATTGCTATGTTTCTATATGAATTCCTGTAATGAAAATGAGCTTTGAGCTTTGGACTGACTTAATGGAATCTGGTCTTCCCTTCTTGGCCTCTGGCAGTGATTCCTTCTCAGCATCTTTTCATAATTTGCAGATTGAAGAGACTCGGCAGAATATTGACAAAGTTTCAAAGAATGTAGAAGAGGCAAAAAAGCTGTACAGCATTATCCTGTCTGCTCCTATCCCTGAACCAAGTGAGTAGGATGCAGTGTTCATAAATTTTTGTTTGAAAATTCTGAGCTTAAACCCTTCGCCCCATTTAAAAAAAAAATTATCTCTATATCAGATAGAAGAAGAAAGATGGTTGCAGCTTCTGGAAGAGGCTAAAACTTTCCCCTTTTTAATACATGAGTGGATTCATCCATATTGGGGGTGCTGTTGCTGTTGTGTGTAGTGCAGTGAAGAAAATATCTTTACTGCTATTCTCCTACTAGAGGAAATCTATTTGTGTTCTGCAGAGACAAAGGATGATCTGGAGCAGCTGACAGCAGAAATCAAGAAAACGGCTAATGCTGTTCGAAACAAGCTTAAAAGTAAGAGATCTCTCCTGGGAACAGGCTGGGTTTATTTTATTTGTACAGTATTACTTAAACAATTACTAAATTTTATTTGTGTTGCTTAAATGTTGGTTGCTTACTTAATTGCCTTTACATGCCAGAGTCCTGTGAGCATATTATGAATTCTGTAGACACCTTCCCCAGTCTCTCTGTCCTCTGGATGTGTGGAGTTGAAAGCCAACCCCAATGAAGGATGCCCAGCTTCTGGAAAAGTTTTGTGGCCATTACATGAAGGGAGGGTACTATTCTCTTTAAGTACCAAAACCAAATCCATGCTCAAAGCTAAGAAATCACCATTAGGTTTGTTCTTCCTACCTGAACAACCTACCGCTCCAAAAGCTAACAAGTGACTTAAGATTTACAAGAATATAGAACTGGGTTTAATTAGAAGTCATTGTAAGCTTCTATTCTTCCCAGTTTAGATCTGCATTTTGTTTCCTTTGTTTTGAAATATCACAAATTCAGTCAATCTACACTAAAATTGGATTTTTTTCTTAAGCTTTCTTTGCTTTTCCCTCTGCAATTAGGTGTGTTGAAAAACTGAATATTTATTTATTTATGGCACAAAGAGAATGATTTTTATCCATGCCTATATCCCTATCTAGATATCTTTAAACTATTTTTAAAATTTTCTAATAACCTCTCATTGATAAAACAATCCCAACCTGGGGATACAACCATGAAAACAATTTAGATAAAAACATTTTGCTGTATAAACTTTCTACAAAATTCCCACATCTTAAAACGCTTAAATTAGTTTTAAATCCTGGTGAAGCAGGCCAGAATAAACAGAGTATCAACAGAATCAATGGAAGCTCCTTAAATACAAACCAAAGAAGAAATTAACTCTGCAGAATATAGCCAGAATTCTTTTCGGACTATGATATCTCCTCATTTTTCTTGGCTGCACAGGTATGGAGCAGAATATTGAGCAGGATGCGGCTCGATCATCAGCTGACTTGCGGATACGGAAGTCTCAGGTAAGTGGAGCTTTATGATGGTTGGATTAAAATGACTTCACCAGCTATTATCATGGACTTAAGTGAATGATACAGAATGATATGGATGAGACAGAACTGTATGTTTGAATATAGCAATAGTGAATTGCTATTGCTGAAGCCCTTGTCTGCTATGTACATAACCCTGTTTTCCAGTTGGAATTATGAGGATTAGCTCGTTCAGATTCCTAGGCATATTTCATGAGAAGCTCTAGGGTTTAACTGTTTCAATGTCCAAATTAAGCACTGAAACACAGCTCTAATTAAAAGGGAAATAAAGGAAAGTAATGGTTTAAATGTAGTAGGTGAATTACCAGACATAGCAGGTGAATTTCTTTTAATTTTGAACGATTGTGGGATTGGAGCTGTTTTTAATGCTTTGACAAAATGTAGTGATTTTAAATACCTTGAAAGCAGTTTTGGGGAACAAACAGAAATAGTGATTTTTCATGTTTTTCAAAATAAAAGGAAAAAATTAGTTAGCTAAAAGATATTTAGTAACTATTTTAGACACAAATTAAGGCATATTTAAACTTTTTATTTTTCTTATCACCAGCATTCAGTTCTTTCCCGAAAATTTGTGGAGGTGATGACTAAATACAACGAGGCACAGGTTGACTTCCGGGAACGGAGTAAAGGGAGGATCCAACGGCAGCTTGAGATCAGTAAGGCCTTTTCTGTTTGCCTTAGACATCACCTGAGTAATGTAAGATCTTGAAATCTTGGAAGAGAAATGATTCTGCCTTGGTTTTCAAAATTGAACTCTTCTGACAGAGGCATTGCACGGATTTGGGGTCTTCCAGAATATTCTTGTTGAATTCTTTTTATGATGTTTCCAGTCCTGGGAGTCAAAATACACACCCTTTGCAAGGGTCCAAGTTGAGAAAATGGCTCTGCACCATTTATTTGATACTGGCCATTCATCTCTCATGACATTTCAGTGGCATTGAATTTGGATACTCTCTTCAATATTGCTGGACAGGTATTAGCAAAAGAATGCCATGCAAACTTCATCTCAAGACTTAATTTTACTTACCTCCATCCTAAGCTCTGAGTTTTGAAAATCAGTTGGTCATTGCTCATGTTTTAAACCTGCCCTACTGTTTTAGCCTTAAGAAATAGGAATAGTTTTAAAATGAAAATTGAAATCCTGAAGATGCTGACTTGATAATATTAGTATATTATGTAAACCAGGAAAGTGGATGGATTCAGTTATAGTAGCAACAGATGCATCATTGGAAGACCTGAAGGTTTGGGTTTGGACAGACCATTATAGCAATAGCAATAACACTTCGACTTATATATAGCTTCACAGTGCTTTTATAGCCCTCTCTAAGTGGTTTACAGAGTCAGCATTGTCCCCAACAATTTGGGTCCTCATTTTATCCACCTCGGAAGGATGGAAGGCTGAGTCAACCTTGAGCCTGGTGAGATTTGAACTGCCAAATTGCAGGCAGCTGGCAGGCAGCAGAAGTAGCCTGTAGTACTCTAACCACATTATGGAGAAAAGCTGTGTGTGGCTTTGTCTTTAGTGCATTAATTTTTAGATTCATGATCCTCCTTGCATCATACAATCTAACATTTCCTGAAAATCATTTGGGTTTGTAACCCAAAACATGGCATCCCGTATAGGGTAGTTTTCAACCTACAACCATTTTTTGGGCAACCATTGGAAGTTATAATGGCACTGAAAAAAATGATTTATGGCTGGTCCTATCACTTAGAACTGTTGCATTTTATTTGTTTGTTTGTTTGTTTGTTTTCTATGCCACACATCTTCCCTATGGCTGGTCCTCTTACTTCAAACTGTTGCATTTTATTTATTTATTTGTTTTCTATGCCATCCATCTTCCCTACAAGGTAATTCTGGGTGGCCATTATCATTCCACAGTCACGTAATCAAAATTTGGGTATATGGCAACTGGCATGTATTTATGATGGTTGCAACATTCCAAGATCACAGGGTTGCCATCTGCAACCTTCTCAGCTGGCTTCTGACACGCAAAGCCAATAGGGGAAGCTGGATTCACTTAATGATTGCATGGCACATGTAACCATCCCTTTCAGTGATTCACTTATCAACCATGACAAAAACAGTCATAAAATCAAGCACAACTCACTTAACCATTGCTTTGCTTAGCAGTGGAAATTCTGGTCCTGATGTTGGTTGTAATTTGAGGCCTACCTGTACATGGTAACATACACACTCTATTCATGCTCTCAACCAACACACCTCTTGACATCATCAAAAGTATTCACCCATAAAAAAAACATTAAATAAACTGAGTGACAGCACACATTCTTCGTTGTCTTCTTGCTCAGTGCTGAACCATTTGCTAAGCCTTCTGTGTATTTTCTTGTGTGCTTTATTTTCATCGCAAATATCTCCTTTTACTTTCCTTTATCAACCTTTGATTCTGTTTATACAAAATGCACGATCATTCAAACCTATCAAATGTTTTCTGTACGCTAGTAAATGTATAACAATCATATTATTCTTCACATTAAAATTAATATTTTATCTGATTTTCTTTTTTATTCTTTTTATTTCATACACTTAGGATATGCCTTTATGGAACAATAAATTACAACAAAATAATGATTGTTTATAAGTCATTAGTGTAATTAAGAATTACATTTCCCCCTGCCTGGATCTGAGAACAGAAAAGTGTTATACTATGTTATATAATAAAGTTATATTCTGTTATAATAATAACTGAATATTATTATTGTGTGTTATTTCTTACCATGTGCATGGACATGTTCATTCATATTATAAAAATTGACATTCTGGTTTTCTTTCTCTCTTTTCCCTGGGGTACAGCTGGAAAAAATACAACAGATGAAGAATTAGAGGAAATGTTAGAGAGTGGGAATCCATCGATATTCACCTCTGGGGTGAGTGTGTATGTGAAGCAGGATGGCGGGGGGGGAGGGGGTTCATAAGAAATAACTGTACAAACCTAAATGCTAATGATTTACAAGAAGGATGGTTTGGAGTTTTTTCCCTAATGGCATTGTTATTGATAATAGCAACAGAAGGATGAATGAGTTGGATGGGAAGTGAAAGTGATCTATCTATCTATCTATCTATCTATCTATCTATCTATCTATCTATCTATCTATCTATCTGAAGAAAGATGCTAAATTGGGGCAAAAGAAAGCATATGTTGAATATTGTTCAGGATTATTGCAGAAAAGGCATTTCTTCCATGCAATGGTCTCTGGATCTTCTCTAGATCATGGATTCCCAGATCTCGAAGCAAGCACTGAGTGAGATTGAGGGACGACATAAAGACATTCTACGACTTGAGAATAGCATCAAGGAGCTTCATGACATGTTTGTGGACATTGCCATGCTGGTAGAAAATCAGGTAACTGAGCCTTGGTGGAAGGAGGCTGGAAAAATAGCCAAGAAAATTTAAAGAACACCTGTTTCAGGAAAAAAATAACATCTTAGGGGACTGAAATGACAGATCCTTGCAAGAAGCAGGAAAGGGAGAAGACAATGAATATATTTCCTACTAATCCAACAAGGTCTTGTCACATTGCCAGTGCTCCAGATACCGTATTTGCCGGCGTATAAGACGACTTTTTTGCCCTGAAAAACATGCCTCCAAGTGGGGGGGTCGTCTTATACGCCGGGAGGACTCTGACTCCCACTTCGAGCTTGAGTTGCAGCCGGGAGGGAGGCTGGGGGGGGAGCGGTGTGTGTGTGTGTGTGTGTGTGTGTGGCGGGTGTCACTCGCCACGCGCTGCGCAACCTTTCCCCCTCTTCCTTCCTTAGCGGTGTGGGGAGGAGAGGATTCGAAGATCCTCACGTGCGGCGTACTTTTCTTTTTCTTTTTTTCTTTTTGCACGCAGGTTTTGCATGCGGGCGGCTGTAGGTTAAGGATGGGGGAGCCCCCGGGTGGGTTATCAGGTTTTACGGTGCTTCCAACATGTGCGAACGGTGGGAGAGCGGAGAAGAGAGCGAGCGAGCGCCCCGCTGTGTGAAATCCTGCCGTCAAAGCAACACTGGGGGAGGCAGGGTATAAATTTACCAGGTTAATGTAGCAATGGTGATTAATGCCCAGAACATTGTTTGCGGGTATTGGTGTGTGTGTGTGTGTGTGTGGTGGTGGTGAGGAGAGGTTGTCCTTTGAATGCGGAAAAGTAGGTGTGACCTTGTGTAGGAAAATAAAGAGATCCTTTTTAGCGTGTTTGGCTTCTTTGCCTCCCCTCGTTCGTTTTGACGTGGAGATAATGGCCTTCGGGCGGGAGGGGAAGAAAACGGTAGCTGGATCATTTCAAATTTCACTTACTCTCCTGCCTCACTTCAATATGTCTGAGCGACTCCAGATACTGGAAGACTTTTTGAATGAAAGTGTTACCTCCATTTTTTTTTTTAAAGAGGGCCACTTGGGAAAAAAAAAAGATTCTAAGGAATTCCTTGTTTCTTGATTAAAGAGAAGGCATTGAATATACTGTTCCTTGGCAGCCTTTTCAGTGTCCGGGTTTTTGGTGTGTGTGTGTGTGTGTGTGTGTGTGTGTG